ATGTCTTTCATTTTGCCCTTACACTTGAATAACATTTTAGGTGGTATATCATTCAATGCTTAAATTTATTTTCTTTCAGAGCATTGAGGATGTGGCTCCACTTTCTCCTTGCACCGTATTGCTGCTTAGAAACCTGCTGTCAATCTGAAACTTATTCCTTCCTGGCTAGTTTTTTTTTTTTTTTTTTCTCTTTAAATATTTAAATATTTTATCTCTATCAGTTATGACACTGTACCACAAGCTGTTTGGAGCTCCATCTGTTCTCTTTCACCTTTTTAAGTCAATTGAGTCTCTTTAAGCTCTGGAAAATTCGTTAATGCTTTGAATGTTCTTGCTCTCCATCTCTGTACTTCCTTTCTCATGAACACTAATTCAACCATGACTGGAACTCCTAGATCGATGCTTCATTCTTTTATTTACTTTTTTTAACCTTTTCATTTCTCTGGAATCATCATTCCAGGATGATTCCTCATATCCAATTTTCCACTCACTAATCTGCACTTTAGTTATGTCCATTCTGCTATTCATCCCATCTATCAAGTTTTAATTTTTTTTGTGTGTGTGTGAGGAAGATCAGCCCTGAGCTAACATCCATGCTAATCCTCCTCTTTTTGCTGAGGAAGACCGGCTCTGAGCTAACATCTATTGCCAATCCTCCTCCTTTTTTTTCCCCCAAAGCCCCAGTAGATAGTTGTAGGTCATAGTTGCACATCCTTCTAGTTGCTGTATGTGGGACTTGGCCTCAGCATGGCCGGAGAAGCGGTGCATCAGTGTGCGCCTGGGATCCGAACCCGGGCCACCAGTAGCGGAGCGCACGCACTTAACCGCTAAGCCCCGGGGCCGGCCCACAAGTTTTAATTTTAACACTGTTCCTTTCTAAAATTCATAAATGGCCCTTTTTACTAATGGTTTGTTCTTCTTCTATGGCTAATTGGTCTTCTCCCATTCCTCAAGAATATTAAATTTACTTCTTTAAATTGTCTTCTAAAGTCTTTCCCTTTGCTATCATGTTTCTGATTGTTGAGTTTAGGGATGTTTTTTCATGCTGTTGGTTTCCTCCAAAGCTTGGTGATTCTTGGTTGCGTGCTCATCTTTTTTTTTGAGATTTCCTCTTTGCCTGTTGATGAGTGCCATGTGCCTGACTCCACGGACTGCAGGAGAGATGTTGGTTGTCAGGAGTGGGCGGTCTCCTGGGCAGGGATCTTCCTGTGCAAGGGTGTCCATGGCACTAGGCCCTGCAGCCCCTCCCCAGGCCAGTCACAGCCCCTACCTGGAGATAGGCCATCTCTTGCCAACCTCGTGATTCAACTGGAGAGTTGGCTGCTCCTCCTATCGGTATATTCCAACCAACCCCTGCAGTAGCCCTCAGCCCCTGTTGCCCCCTGGACCAGCTGCCTCCAAGCTTGGACGGACTGCATGGCCACTGTCTACTTTTGTATGAGACCCTTTTTAGACCTTTGATTTATTTTCTTTCAGTCTTTTCACATCTGTCTTCTGTCGCTTAAAGAGTCTGCATAATTTCTGCCCACTGAAGTCTTCTTCCTAATTTTTTAAGGTACTATTAGAGATTTTTAAAATAAATATATTTTACTGATATTTCTATGAATTTATACCAAGAGAGGAAGACCTAAGCCTGTGCTCACATATTTTTATTCATTTTCTCAAGGACATTGTCTGAGTTTTCTTTATAGTCATGTTTCCTTGAGGTTTGGGGTGAAAATGTTGAAGCAAATTTATCCAGTGACTGACAATTTTCTGCTGCAGATGGTTTGTCTCTATTTTTTTTAATTGCAAATTTAGTTTCCTCTTGTCCTTTCCTTCATTTTCTTCCCTTCCCTTCCTGAACAACTTAGTCTGAAAGTCATTAAGCTTGGCAGCGCAACATAGGTGCACCTGGGGAGGAAGAGAGCCGCCAAACACAGAGTGGGCTGTGGATTCCAAGAGGGCGAGGAAAGTGTTGGCATAGGAGGACTGCCTAGCATGGAACCCAGGCAGGGTGAAGAGGAGTCCACACAGGGGCCTGCTTGCACAGTGTTGGAACCCAGGCAGAGTGAAGAGGGAGTCCGAACACAGGGATCCAAGGTCAAGGCAGTAATGGGTACCTTGTGTGGGATGAAGAGGGCATCCTTAGTGGTGTAGGAAGTCAGGACTTGAGCACAGCAAGGAGGGTATCTGTGCAAAAGGCACCCTGACATCTCATGTCATCCCAGGTTTGGTGAAAGGGGCATTCACACAGGACAGCAACCAATGTGGGAAGCTGGATCCTGAGCTACATGGAGAGGGTAATGGCCCAGCAGGGTATCAGAGCTCAAGCAAGGTGGGGACAGTGTTGCATGGGAAAGGGGCCAGAAGCAGCCACAAGATTAGTTACATACAGGGAAGATCAAATAAGAAAGTTTATTAAGGATAATGGGAGCCAGATGTCTTAATCTTGGAAACAGAAGGTAAAAATATGGAAAGGAGAAACTAGAATGAACTCTTTTATTTTATTTTTTTAATTGAGGTTGCATTGGTTTATAACATTATATAAATTTCAGATGTATGTCATTATACTTCGACTTCTGTATAGACTGCATCATGTTCACCACCAAAAGTCTAGTTGCTATCCATCACCGTACACATGTGCCCCTTTACTTCTTTCACCCTCCCTCTGCCCCCTCCCCCTCTTGTAACCACCAATCTGGTCTCTGTATCTAAGTGTGAACTCTTTGATTTTAGGTTGTGATTTTAGGTATCAGTGTTAACTCATACATTTCAATATAGATGACAGATAGATGATAGAAAGATGATAGATAGATAGATAGATAGATAGATAGATAGATAGATAGATAATAGATGATAGATAGATAGATAGATAGATAGATAGATAGATAGATAGATAGACAGACATATGGACAGGTGGACAAATAGATAGATAGATGATAGATAGATAGATAGATAGATAGATAGATAGATAGATAGATAGATAGACAGAAAGGCAGAAATGTGTGTGCTTGTGTGTGTGCACAAAAATATATTCCCTAGCTCTGTCCACTGAGAGGCTTGGGACCAGTGGCATCCCAATAATGATGAGCACACCCTGGTGTGCTTTGGGAGGCCACTCCACTCCACCCTAGAAATTGCTGTTTATCCCTGGCTGCCAATTTTTAAGGTTTGTGGATGCCACCTTTTTCCTCATTTTATTGCTGATGCTGAATTTTTAAGGTACTTGACATTCACACTGAAAGATGAGGATCATTAGCCCAACTTCACAGGAAACCGGGGCTCAGAGAGGGAAAATGATGTATCCACGACCACATGGCAGTGAGTGGGGGAGCCAGCGATCTGACCAAGGTCGGTCTGGCTCCAAAGTCCTTGCTCTTTACTCTGAGACACTGAATACAAAAGAGAAAAGAAGGCAAAGAGAGAGGAGACAGAAATCCTTCAGAGCAAGAGTGAGAGACCAGGACCTGAGTGAGACACAAAGGGCAGGACACGGAGGAACAGAGCAGGAAATACAGAGCTCATGCCCCAGTGCAAGACAGAGAGCTGGGAGCCTGAAACACCTGGGCAGTGTCTCAGAACCTCTGCCCACCAGCTCTCCAGGGCAGAGTAGATGGAGCAGGGCTGGACATGGGGCTTCTGAGCTTGCAGCCTTGATAGAGAATAACCCAAGACCTCAGACCCCTCTCCCTCTGCAGGAAGCCGTGGGACAGCAGTGCCCAGATGGGCAGAAGGACAGCCTAACCTTGATCTCTTAATCATCACCTAGACCACGATCCCACCCCAGGTGGCAGCTTTTCACAGAAAGGGACTGTCAGATGTCCCAGCTCCACCTTGACCAGCTCTTGCAGAGACTGGCCGTGGGGAGAAGGTGAGAGAGACATGGCTGATGCCTTCTCAGCTCTGGGTCTGTGATAGCCTAGGGCCTGACACTTGCCAGATGGTTTGACTAGCAGCAGAATGCCTTCTTTCCTCATCCCCATACCTATGGAACCACCCATGCCCACCAAGTCTAGAGGAAAATGAGTCCTAGCCTCCATTTGGGGCTGGAGGGTGAGGGACAGACAGAGTTTGAGGTGGGAATGAGGACTGGGGCTATGCACTCTAACAATGTCCAGTTTGGGTCTCAGATTCTGACTTGGAGGCCAAGTATGAGGATATAGCCCCAAGTTGGGCAGGGAGCTGTTAGAGAAGGTCATTGAGAGGACGTGACCACCAGTTGACCTGCAAGCTGGACCTGGGCAATCAGAGGTTCCTCTCTTCCTCCCTTGTCTTTGGAATGTATGCTCTGCCCACTGTTCCCACAGTGGGAGCCATTTTCAAAGACGCAACCTTGAGAGAGCAATGTATTATTGAGACCATCTGGATGGTATACATGACTGAACTCAGTTAAGGCCTCTATACACACTTTTAAGATTCTGGTGGGCAGGTGTAGAGATCTACTCGTCTTGTAGGTGCCCAAGACAAGCCTCATATGTAAGTTCCCTTGCTTATTAAATGGCCACCTACCAACATGGAGTGCCTCTTTCTTGGGTCTCTCCTTGCCCTCCGTATATGGGAGCCAGTTACAAACCAACAGGAGCCAGAATCACAGAGCTTGGGTTGGGTGGGCTCCTTTCAAGCATAGGGGTGGGAGAACAAGCCTTGAGCAACTAGATCCAGGTGGGTAAATGCCTGGCAAATATGCTGCCATTGCCATCACCTACCCTGCCTCCCCACCCCGGCTTGCATTATACACAATCTTGGAGGGAGGCACCGTTTACATAGACCAAACATGAATGATGCATCCTGAGTTGGCCGACATGGCAGATCTGTACCACTGACTTTCCTATTTATGGCAGACATTGCTAATCAATCATAGTCTCTGCTCAGTCTGGGCAAAGGCTCAGAATCCTTATCCTGAGACAACTTCAGGGCCTCAAACAACCACTGCTGATTCCTCAGAACTAGCATGTGAGATGCTAAGTATCTGCCATCATTTACCCTGACCTCCTAGATCTTGTCAAACAGAAAGAGGCTGGGGAAAGACCACTTCACTGCTTTATTGGGAGGGGAATACACTCCGTCACAATGCAAGGCTCTGAGCCCAGCAAGATCTCTAGCTCGAGATGCAGCTGGTTGGCCGTGACTCTGTAGTGGCCCTTGATGAAACCCTGGGAAGCGCAGGAGTGGCACCTCCAATAGGCCTGGATGATGCGGGCAGCATTGAGCAAACAGCAATAGCGCCGATGGATGCGCCACATGCGGACCCAGGACTGCAGCTTGACTGCTGCCCACTCCTTCTGTATAAAGGCCTCCAGCGCCATCCACCGCCTCTTCTCCAGTAGCTTCGCTTGCATCTGCCTCCACCAGCTCTGAATGATCAAAGCTCTGAGGGCCGCGTGTAGCAGCGTCCGGCGCACCAGGGTGCCGCGCCACCAGGCCTGGATCTTTACAACTTCCGGATAACTGGTGGCAGGCTTATTTTGGTTTCCTGAGATCTTGAAAGAAAAAAGAGGGGACACTCAGAGAATATTCCTCACCCACTTCAGCCCCAGGGTGTGCCAGGAAGGGACTCTGATTCCCTATCAATGATCATCCCTTCTTCTGAACCCCAAGAGCACAGGGTGAGAAGACCAGGTAGGTGTCCTGTCTCTACCCCTCTCTGGTTAATGGACATGGACATATCACATTGACCTCTGAATCTCAGAGTCCCCAACTGTAAAATGGGAGTATATCTGCCCTGGCTACCCAGTTTTATATGGATCAAGTTGTCCAGCCTAGGGCAAGAATGCTATGATCTATGGGTCAAAGGGTTACCATGTTCCATGTGACTCTACCCTCCTAACCAAGATCCATAACCCTTCCATTCAGAGTCCACCTACCTGCTGGAGAAGTGGCATCCTTTGATAATCCTGCCCTTTCATCTTTGACTCCAGCTCCAGTCCACAACCTACTGTCTTCTTCTGTCATGTCATAGTATTAAGAGTTTCTCCCACCCCAAAAAATTCTGCCTCTCTTCTCTCTTCCCCATCTTCACTCCTCTTGACTTTCACACTTTAAATCTTAATTAACAAGCAAACATAGATGCACAAGCTCAACCACACACACACACACACACACACAAAATATTGATTAAGCCTAGCTTCCCGAATGTTGGCCATTCCATTCCACAAACACAGCCCCCACATTCCCAGCCCCAGCCCTGTGTGGTATGGGGAAGGGGGCCATACTTCTCTGGGTCTCTTATTAGCATTATCCACTTTCTTTGTCTCAATCGTATTCATATGCTTAGCCTGAAAACAAAATGGGGGAAGAGGACAGACAAGAATGAGTTTATTCCTGCTCTTAGCTCCAGACCATGCACAAGACACTAGCCATAAGGACTAGGACACAAGGACCAGAGACATCCAAGTCAGGGCTCCTCCTACCTCCACATTCTTCTCTGAGGTCAGTGGTGCTGAAAATAAACCAGTAGGTTCCCGTTTCTGCTGAGGCTCATTTTTAGTGTGTTCATTAATTTTTTTAGGCTGGTCCTTCTCCTGCAATCAGCAGTTAGAAGAGAGGCAATAGTAAGGCTGCTCTCTCTCCCTCTCCATTCAGGATCCCACACATCCCCAGCCCAGAGTTGCCCAGAGTTTCCCAGAGTATTCAGATGTCAAAGGGTTCCCTCATCCTGAGAAACCTATAGGGGACATCCCTAAAAAGCCTGCCTGGTTTGTCTGCAGCTCTCTTACTCACCATTGGTCCCACATGGATTGGGTGCAGATGGTTCAAATCCCCTCAGGTCTGTGTTCATTTAGCCATGGCATGGGTATAAAGAGTGGAGGGAGGAGACCTCTGATGTCATAAGGGCAGCTATGACTCAGGCACCAAGATAGCTCACAATAGTTGAGCCCTCTCCAAGGAAAAGATGAAAGTGCTGTCCGTTCTTTTCTGGTGGGAATGGCCAAAGCCTTGGCTACAAAAGCAAGACACCAGAAATACTGGCCCATTGATATAAAGGTGTATAAAGATAGTCAGTCATTGGTAATAACCCCAATTGGTATAATTGGGAATTGATTTAGTGGTTTACAGTCCATTCATAATATAGGATACTGCAGAAATTAAAAAATGATGAATTTGATCTATATGTGCTGATGAAGAAGTATAACGAAGATGTATTTATAAGAGAAAAAGTTGAAGATCATTATGACCCATTTATGTGAATAAAACCATCAAGATACATATTATACATATATGTTGTAAATGCATATAAAGGGGGATAACAGTACATATATATATACCAAACTGCTAGTGATGACTACCTTAGGAGACAAGAATTGAATTGCTGACCCATCAATACGATGCCCAGGGAACTCCATGAGGCCCCCAGGACCACCTGAGTCACCCATCTCAGGCTCCAATGGGCTCAAGTGCTCTCTTATTTTCTTCTGCCCCTGAGGGACTCAAGGCTACATCAGATGGGTGAGGGGTAACCAATACCAAAGTTCTTACCTCTGTTCTTAGCTCTGAACCATGCAAAAGACAATTGCCACAAGGCCCTAGACAATAGGTGGGGCCCTCCCCACCTCTGCCTATTCCTGTCCTCTGAAGACCCATGTGGTTAGTATGAGGCCCCGGTACCCCCTCAGAGTCACAGTCCCAGAGGTCACTGAGGAGTGAATTTCTCACCCCTTCCAGAACTCTGAGGTGAATCGCATGATTGAGGAGTGGGAGGGGCTGAAAGAACAGCAGGTAAGGCTCGAAACCTATCAAAAGGATGCGGATCCTACTAACCACTTTGCGTACTCCATCAGGAAGCCTACCCATAAGCCACTGAGGATGCCTCACTTGTGGATCTCCCAACTGGCATACAGGCACCCCTAACACTCTGCCACTCACGCACATGCACCAGTACCCATGGTTGGCTCCTTGTGTGAGCCCCTGAGGGTGGCAAGTAGGAGCCTTTGCAGATGGCTAGTGAGCATGCATAGAAAGCCAGTTGACTTTGTGGAACTGGGGAAAAGCCCGCAAACTTGAGCATTCAGCACCGCCCTAGGGAAAGCAAATGGGGAGCTATCAGAATACAGCCTGACTTTGCAGGATTGAGAGAAGGCATACAGTCTTAAGAATCCTCCTCCCCCCAAGTGGGAACAAGAAGTGTGGAGCAGGCATATCCATAGAAAATCTCTGAGAAAGCCTGAGAATCCCTAGCAGGGCTGACAGAAAGAAAGGGGCAGAAAGCTTAACTAAAGAAATAATAGCTGAGGATGTCCAAATCTCTGGACATTCAGTTCATGACACTCATAGGTTCCCATATTTAGTCCAAAGAAATCTTATCAAAGACATAGTATAGTAAAACTTTCTAAAATCAAAGACAAAGAAAGAATTTTTAAAAGCAGCAAGAGAAAAAAAATTTCTCACATACAAGGAAACTCCCATAAGGCTATCAGTGGATTCCTTAGCAGAAACCTCACAGGCCATGAGAAAGTGCTGAAAGATGATATATTCAAGTGCTGAAAGAAAAATCTGCCAACCAAGAATACTTTACCCAGCAAAGCTGTGTCCTTTAGAAATGAAGGCAAGATAAAGACTTTCCCAGACGAAAGCTGAGGGATTTCATCACCACTAGACCTGCCTTATAAGAAATGCTGAAAGGAGTTCTTCAAGCTGAAATGAAAGGACACTAATTAGTAACAGTTAAAATATGAAAATATAAAACACGCAGGGAAAAGTAAGTATATAGTGAAATTCAGAATACTCTAATACTGTAATATGGTGGTATGTTAATTACTTAACTCTAGTATAAAGGTTAAAGTATAAACCCTAGTATAAAGTATTAAAAATAACTATAGCTACAATAATTTGTTATAAATACACAGTATAAAAAGATGTAAATTGCCACATCAGAAACAAAATTGAGGGGAGGAGTGAAAGAGTAAGGTATGTGTATGAAGTTGAAGTTGTTACCAATTTAAAATAGACTATTGTAACTATAAGATGTTTTATGTAAGCCTCATGGTAGCCACAAAGCAAAAACCTAAAATAGATACACAAAAGATAAAAGAAAGGAATCAAAGTATACTACTATGGAAAAACATCAATTCAAAAAGGAAGAGAGCATGAGAGGAAGAAAGGAACAAAGGAACTACAAAACTGCCAGAAAATAATTAATAAGATGGCATTAATAAGTGCATACCTATCAATAAGTACTTTACATGTAAATGGATTAAATTCTCCAATCAAAAGACATAGAGTGGCTAAATGTATTGGAAAAAAAAAAGACCCAACTATATGCTGCTTAACAAAGACTCACTTCAGTTTTAAGGACAAACATAAGCTGAAAGTAAAGAGATGGAAAAAGATATCCCATGTAAATGGAAACCAAAAGAGAGCAGTTATAACTACTCCTTTATCAGACAAAATAGACTTTAAGTCAAAAACCATAACAAGAAACAAAGAAGGTCTTTTGATAATGATAAAGGGATCAATTCATCAAGAAGTTATAACAATTTAAAAGAACACTGGAGCATCTAAATATATTAAGCAACTACTTGGGCCGGCCCTGTGGCTTGGTGGTTAAGTGTGCGCGCTGCGATGCTGGTGGCCCGGGTTCGGATCCCGGGTGCGCATCGAGGCACCGCTTCTCCGTTCATCCTGAGGCCGAGTCCCGCATACAGCAACTAGAAGGATGTGCAGCTACGACATACAACTATCCACTGGGGCTTTGGGGGGAAAAAATAAAATAAATAAAATCTTTAAAAAATAAATAAATAAATAAATAAATAAATAAATAAATATATTAAGCAACTACTAATAGACCTGAAAGCAGAAAAAAACAACAACATAATAATAGTAGGTGACTTCAACACCCCACTTTCAACAATGGATAGATCATCCAGGCAGAAAATCAATAAGGAAAAATTGGACTTGAGCTATACTTTAACCAAATGGACCTAATGGACATATACAGATTATATACAGAATATTCCAACAGCACAAGAACACACATTCTTCTCAAGTGCACACAGAACATTCTCCAGAGTAGATCATATGTTAGGTCACAAAACAATTCTTAACAAATTTAAGAAGATTGAATCATACCAAGTATATTTTCTGATTATAATGATATGAAACTAGAAATCAATAACAGAAGGAAAACTGGAAAAGTCACAAATATGTGGAAATTAAACAACGTACTCCTGAACAACAAATGGGTCAAATAAAAAATCAAAAAATATCTTGAAACAAACAAAAATGGAAACACAACATACCAAAACCAATGGAATGCAGCAAAAGTAGTTGTATGAGGGAATTTTATAACAATAAATGCCTACATTAAGGAAAAAGAAAGATCTCAAATAAACAGCCTAACTTTACACCTCAAGGAACTAGAAAAAATATTAGCCCAAAGTTAGCATAAGGAAGGAAATAACAAAGATCAGAGCAGAAATAAATGTAATAGAGATCAGAAAAACAATAGAAAAAAATCAAAAAAGCTAAGAGCTATTTTTTAAAAGATAAAAAATTGACAAACTTTAGTTAGACTAAGAAAAAAAGAGAGAAAACTCAAATAAATAAAATCGGAAATGAAAGAAGAGACATTACAACTGATACCACAGAAATACAAAGGATCATAAGAGAATACTGTGAACAACTATGCCAACAAGTTGAAATAACCTAGAAGAAATGGTTAAATTCATAGAAACATACAATCTACCAAGACTGAATCATGAAGAAATAGAAAATCTGAACAGATCAATAGTGAGTAAGGAGATTGAAGCAGTAATCAAAAACCTCCCAACAAATAAAACCAGAACCTGATGGCTTTATTGATGAATTCTACCAAACATTTAAAGAAGAATTAATACCTTCTCAAACTCTCCCCAAAAATTTAAGAGATGGGAATACTTCCAAACTCATTTTACAAAGACAGCATTACCCTGATACCAAAGCCAGACAAGGACACTACAAGAAAAGAAAATTATAGGCCAATATGCCTGAAGAACATAGATGCAAACATGCTCAAAAAAATAGTAGCAAACCAAATTCAACAGCACATGAAAAGGATCACGCATCACTATCAAGTGGGATTTATCCCTGGCATGCAAGGATTGTTCAACATATGCAAATTAATAAGTGTGATATACCACATTAACTGAATGAAGGATAAAAATCATATGATCATCCCAATAGATATAGAAAAAGTATTTGACAAAAGTCAAAATCCTTTCATGATAAAAACTGTCAACAAATTTGGTAGAGAAGAAATGTACCTCAACATAATAAAGACCTTATATGACAAGCTCACAGCTAATATCATACTCAATGGTGAAAAGCTAAAAGCTTTTCCTCTAAGATTAGGAACAAGACAAGGGTGCCCACTCTCATCACTCCTATTCAACATAGTGGCGGAAGTCCTAGCCAAAGCAATCAGGAGAGAAAAGTAATAAACGCCATCTAAATTGGAAAGGAAAAAATAAATTATCTCTATTTGCAGAAACATGATCCCAAATATAAAAAACCCTAAATTCTCCACCAATAAACTGTGAGAACTAATAAACAAATTCAGTAAAGTTTCTGGATACAAAGTCAAGACAAAAATCAGTTGTGTTATTATATACTAACAACAAACTATCAGAAAGAGAAGTTTTTAAAAAATCTCATTTACAATAGCATCAAAAACAATAAAATATAAGGAATAAATTTAACCAAGGAGGTGAAAGATATCCCATGTTTATGATTCAGAAGAGTTAATATTGTTAAAATGTCCATAACATTCAAATCTATCTACAGATTCAAAGCAATCCCCACCAAAATTCCAATGGCATTTTTCACAGAAATAGAAAAAACAATCCTAAAACTCATATGGCACTAAAAAAGACCCCAAATAGCCAAAGAAAAATTAAAAAAAACCCACAAAGCTG